ATGTTTTTATAAACCCCATAATGGTTGTGGGGGTAACCCCCCCCCCCCCAATGCTGGATGAAAATGCTGAACTGACGCTTTTGTTTCTTTGTGGGACACAGGCTGAAAACGACCTCAACGAGCTGAAAGCATTAATGCATTCACCCAACGCTATTGTGGTAAGAGCACCGGACTCACCTGCATGCACTCTTAATACTGAAAGCTTCATCTGGAACAAGTGTTGTAGTAATCTTCATGGGAACAGATTTGGAGAAATGTAGCATTACATCATTTGCTCACCAATGGATCCTCTGCAGTGAATGGGTGCCGTCAGAATGAGAGTCCAAACAGCTGATAAAAACATCACAATAAATCTACACCACTCCAGTCCATCAATTAGCATCTTGTGAAGTGAAAAGCTGCATGTTTGTTAGAAACAAATCCATCATTAAGACGTTTTAACCGTAAACCGTCATTTCTGGCCATAAAAACACTTTCACCAGTAAAAAGTTTCAGTAAATGTTCATTTTTGAGTGAACTGTTCCTTTAAGGCGAGTTGACATTTAATATGACATTTACCCCCCTAATGGTCCAATAGCAGCCTTCGAATTAGTGAGCAGAGCTTAAAGGGGTCATATGATGCGATTAAAATTTTTTCTTTCTCTTTGGAGTGTTACAAGCTCTTGGTGCATAAAGAAGATCTGTAAAGTTGCAAAGACTAAAGTCTCAAATCCAAAGAGATATTCTTTATAAAAGTTCAGAGTTAACCATGCCTACCTAAAACGCCTCGTTCTAACATGCTCCCACATATCTACATCACTATGTGGGAAGATTTGCATAACGCCGCCCAAATGTTCACGCAAAGAAAGAAGGCGTAACTTTTATTCTCGCTGTAGTATTGTTGCCACTGCCGCCATGTCCTGAAGACGCTGTGTGCTTCGTTGTGAAAGCGAAACTACTTTGTTTGGTCTTCCAAAAGAGGACGATATCTGCTTCGTCATGCCTGGAGCTGATCTGTGCTGGTCGCTGAGGGAATACATCAACTTAGTGCTGTGGATTGCCGGATCGACTTTCACTGTGGACATGTACGGCACGATGCAACGCAACGTGTAAAAAGACAGTATAAGTCATTATAATCAGTAATTATGTCCCCACTGGATGCAATGAATGCCTCGTTTATAATGGGTTTTCATGTTTTTGTCTCGTTGCTCCGGCCGGACAGTGCATCACAGTATGGTGAGGGGCGTAACATTTCCGTCACACGCTTGAGGTATTCGGCCAATCACAACGCACTGGATAGCTGGCCAATCACAGCACACCTCGCTTTTCAGACCAATGAGCTTTGTAAAAATCGACACGTTTCAAAAAGGCGGGGCATAGAGGAGAAACAATAATGTACAGTATGTGGAAAATAATGTTTTTTTAACTTTAAACCGCATAAACACATTTCATTACACCAAATACACAAAATAATGTTCTTTTTAGCAGCATCATATGACCCCTTTAATTTGTCTCATAATTGGCTGTAAAAAATTCTATAGTTTATGATTCTTTATATATGATACATTCAAAAACTGTATTTGAAATTGTCAATAAATAAATACTGATACAATTTTTTTTTTTTTTTTAATTTTATATAGATTTTATTTGACACACATGGAGGATGCACACGCTGTTTAGATTTTTTATTTTTATTTTTTGAAGGGCCATTTATTTATTCATCTATTCACATAAAAATCTCTGTATTTAAAATTTAAATGAGTGTAAATGTCAACATCATATATTTCTAAAGAACTATGTAAAGGAAAATTAGCTTATTGATGCAATTCACAATCTGCTGTTTTATTTCAACCATTATTCTTCCATAAATATTTTATTTATGCATAGAGTAATTTCACTGATGCAACAGGAAAAAAATTTGTCATATTTAGGTTTTAACTTAAATTGGGTGGCCCTTTATGTCAAAACGAGTCTAAGTTATAACCACTACTGCCCAGATTAGTGTTTGTAGTTCTCTGAGTGAAGACCAGCGCCTTTCCTCTTAAGAAAAAACTGGCTGATTTAAGTGAAACAACTTAAAAAGAACCCAGTTGTCTTTGCTTTCACACTGTCTGTGTCCTTAAAAGGGGGCTCAGATTTAATGTTATGCCATTTTACTTGTAACCATGTTTTTAGTGGAGACTGTTGTGTGAATGTAAAGTGGACTATTCAGCCACACATTTGAGTCACTGAAGTGTTACTGAAATTGAATCTTTTTTTCTTTCTCTTATTGGTTCTAGCGGATGAAGTTTCTGCTATTACAGCAGAAGTATCTGGAGTATTTGGAGGACGGAAAAGTTCTGGAAGCTCTGCAGGTGTTGAGAGGAGAGTTGACTCCGCTCAAATACAACACGGATCGAATCCACGTGCTTAGCGGGTACCAAATGCATACATGCTCATTAACATACTCATTGTTATTGATAATCATAAACAACTTCTTTGTCCTGACAGGTTTATATATTATTGCTACAGATTTAATTTTACTCGATAGTTTTTTTTATTTTATTTCATTTCTATTTCCAATTTCCTACTATTGTTTGAAAATTGTAATCACGCTGTGATTGGCTGTGACAGCTGTCAGTGGCTCACTCTGATTGGCTGTGTGTTTTAAGGTATCTGATGTGTAGTCACTCTGAGGATCTGAAGGCAAAGGCTGAATGGGAGGGAAAAGGCGCTGGATCACGATGTAGATTACTGGACAAACTCCAGAGTGAGTGTACAATTACACAAACATTTACAGGGCTTTATAAGTAAAGACATACCATAGACTTGTAGACCGTAGATATTGTTTTTATTGGGGATGCAAAATATATCACCCCTATTTTGGTTATAATCAATATGCTGTTTTATTTTGTTTTTCCACCGTCATTATTGGCCAATGTTTCATTTTTCTGTCTTTTTCTATTCTTTCTGCCTATTCTAGCATCTAGAATTGTGATTACACTTTATTTTAAGGTGACATTTATAGAGTATAATTAGACCAGTGGTTCTCAACCTTTTTTTTTCCCTGGGCCGCACTATGGTCCAAGTGCAAGTTTCACGGGCCGCATGCATATCATTTACATATTATGTCACCAATACAAACCAACCAGATTTATAATATTATAGCCTAAATATTATTATATCTAAACCATTACATTTATTGAAATAAATAATTCTACTCCCCATTAATAAAACACCTGATGCTGTCGGTGTCACAGGGTCATGGTTGTAGTAAGAGAGCGCACAAGGAAGGAGTAAACGTAGGGATAATGAACATCAACACACAATAACCGTTGAAAATAACATTAATCCAGGCCAAAGAAGACACCGAAACTGAGGGCTTATAAGGAAGGCAAACTAAGGAGCAAACGAGATGATTAATACAACACAGGTCCTTAGTTTGCTCCTTCGATATCCCGGGCACCCTGGAGGCTGGTGTAGGACAGGAACAGGGCGGAGACAAGGAGAGCCTCCAGGGCTGATCAGGGCGTTCCAGGAGCCATGGCGGAAACGTACACGTGACAGATATCGCCCCCCTCCCGGAATAGAATTATATATTTCAATAAATGTAATGGTTAATCAGGCAGTTCAGGTTGCCATGGCGGAGCAGGGGACTTAGGAGGCCATGGCGGAGCTGGTAGCTCAGAAGGCCATGGCGGATCGGGGGACACACCCCCCTGGGGAATCTTGACTTCCAAGCGGCCGGCGATCCTGGGCTGAGGACTAGGGAGGAGCTTAGGAGAACATGGGGATGCCTCAATTTTGGCAGGTGGTCGGAGCCGTTGGCGAGGTATGTGGGGGTTCCTGGCGTGAGGTGAGCTGGGGAGGCACGGCTTGTTCCAGAGTGGGCTGGACGAGGAAACTTAGAATTTCTATTGACGACTTCCACCTCGAAGTCGGAATTATTTAAATTGAGAACGAGATTAATCAGCTCGATCAGGGGAAATTCACACGTGGGGAGATCGCAGCGGATTATATCCTCATCCAGCCCCAGCTGGAAACACACTCCAAGTGACGAGTCGTGCCAGCTCACCTCGTTGGAAAGCGCGAGGAATTCCTCCACATATCTCTACAACGTCCGACCACTCTGCCGCAGCACACACAGCTTGTCCTCAGCCGTCATCTTCATTGGCTATGGGTCCTGGATTCTGTCACGGGGTGTGGTTGTAGTAAGAGAGCGCATGAGGAAGGAGTAAACGTAGGGATACTTTAATGAACATCAACACACAATAACCTTTGAAAATAACATTAATCCAGGACAAAAAAGACAACGAAACTGAGGGCTTATAAGGAAGACAAACGAGATGATTAATACAACACAGGTGGGAACTAATGAAAGATGATTAACTAAATGAGCAGGAAATGAACCAAATAGGGGTGTTGAAAATAACATTAATCCAGGACAAAAAAGACAACGAAACTGAGGGCTTATAAGGAAGACAAATGAGATGATTAATACAACACAGGTGGGAACTAATGAAAGATGATTAACTAAATGAGCAAGAAATGAACCAAATAGGGGCAAACAGGAACTAGACAGAAACGTAGACGTGACACATATTGATTGAACTATTGATCTGATCGGACCATTTTTAATTACTTTTAGATTAATTTGTGTAACCCACATGTAGTCAGGTTGTGATGGTCTTGAATAAACTTAAATAAATCAAGTTAATTTAAATGTTACCATGAAAATGTATTTGTTTAATACAATCTTATTATCACAGATAAAAATGGTTGTGCTGTATTTTTTTATTTTTATTTTTGGAAACCAATACATTTTTCAGGATTCTTTGATAAATGAAAAGTTCAAAAGAACAACATCTATTAAAATTTTTTTGTAACAATGTCTTCTCTTTGATCAATTTAATGCATCTTTGCTTATTAATTGTAGTTCTGTAGTAATGTCTTTCTTTCTTTCTTTCTTTCTTTTAAATCGCAGTGCCCTCCGACTTTTGAATAGCAGTGTAAGTGTTCTTGCTCAAAGTTCTAAACAAAAGACAAACACATTTTGTGTGTGTGTGTGTGTGTGTGTGTGTGTGTGTTAGGTTAAATGAACCAAATAGGGGCAAACAGGAACTAGACAGAAACGTACACGTGACAGTTGGGAGCTGACCAATTTTGTGAAATTCGGTGTGAAAGGAGTAACAGCACAATGAAGTTGCGATTGCAAGTTGCAGTCTGTAAGACTTTTGCAGAAAATGTGCATTCACAAATGTAGCCTATGTTGATCCAAATAAAAGCACTTTCGAATTTAATAATCTGAGGTTCTCTCCAGAGATGTTTTGCCACATTAAGGATAATTGCTGCGTAGTATGGGTGTTCCTTTTGCTTGAACATCTTCAAGTGAGTGGCGGGGCTAACCGAAGATCCAGCACTCTCCTACCTTCACTGCTGCTGATACTGCGACTATTCTTGTTTGCATGTGTTCCTTCGCTGGCATTCGCTGCTTAATAACAAATTTGTCCATTCTGATGCTCAAATCTACAGAACTAATGGCTGCTGATGACTATTTAAATTTAATTCTGCCAAAGTGCGCGCTTTTAAGTGTTTGTAAAATGCATGACGTTAATTTACGTGAGTACATAGGTCTGCTCATGTCTGAAAATAATATATGAAAAACAAAATGATTTTACATAACAAAAACATTATAGCTTATATTTGTTTAGTAAATTTTTAAATTAATGTAAAAACTAAAATGAATTGTAAAACTGAAAGTTATTTTTTAATTGTGTTCAACATGGAGGGCCGCATTTGTATTCGTGATGGGCCGCGGGGATGAGAACCACTGAATTAGATTAAATATGTGTACTTACTATAGTATTTGGTTTAGAGTTTGTTGCGTGTAATTAAGCATAATTTATTGTTATTACTATAGTAAGTACATGTAACTACACATTAAAATAGAGTAAACAATTATTGCTAACTTAGCAAAAATATATTTTAAAAAATTATATTTATTATTTATATTGTAATTTGTATTTGTGTATTACTTTTGTGTAATTTATTATTTGAATATACATTTTTATAATACTTCTATTTAAGATATAGTAAATATGATAAAACTTGTATATGGTTTAAGACACTTTAAAATAACTTTTTGCATTTTAGAATGGTTTACTTATTTTTTTTATTTTTTTTTTTACCTTTTAAGGGCATTCCAAAATGGAAGTTTTGTCAGATGTAGCCCGTACTTCTGCTGCCGCCATTTTTTTGCTGATTTATATAATATTTATACAATTTATATTATTTGTTATAATACTTTTATTATTAAAATTACATAAATATTATGAATCTTATAATAAATGATTTAAGACACCTAAAAGAAAACATTTTGCATTTTTAGAATGCTTTACTTCACTTATTTTTAGTCGTTTGTAATTTTAGGGACATCCCAGAATGGAGAATTTGTCAGATTTAGCGCATACTGTGTGGTGGCAGTTTTTCTCAAGTTTATAGACAGTCTTTTGATATTTACTGTCAGTTTTCTTTTATTTCATAACGTATGTCTGTATTTATAATTGTGTGTGTTTTTTTTAGCGTACCTGCCCCCCTCTGTAATGTTGCCCCCTCGGCGGCTGCAGACTCTGCTCAGACAGGCCGTGGAGCTGCAGAGAGATCGCTGCCTTTATCACAACACCAAACTGGACTCCAGTCTGGACTCTGTGTCCTTACTGCTGGATCACGTCTGCAGCAGGTGTGCCGCGTTTACTCATTCTAACGCGCCCCTCCGTCCTCAGAGATTTCACATGAATCGTCTGCACTTGTGTTCGCAGGAAACAGTTTCCCTGTTACACGCAGCAGATCCTCACAGAGCACTGCAATGAAGTCTGGTTCTGCAAGTTCTCCAACGACGGCACTAAACTCGCCACCGGCTCGAAAGACACAACTGTGATTATCTGGCAGGTGGAGCCGGTGAGTGAAGACATCTGTCACATGCAGCAGAACATTTTTCTGTTTGTTTGAGCATCTCGAAAGTTGGCAATTTTTAAAGTGACAGTGACACTTTTTTGAGTTAACCTTGACACTTGTCAATCTTGAATAAATGAATGCATGTGCTCAATCACACACAGGACTCGCATCAGCTGAAGCTCTTACGGACTCTGGAGGGTCACGCGTACGGTGTGTCGTATCTTGCCTGGAGTCCTGATGATGTTTACCTGATTGCCTGCGGTCCTGACGACTGCTCCGAGCTCTGGCTATGGAACGTTCAGGTAAACACTTTTATTTTTTATTTTTTATGTAATATGCATTGTTGGGATTCTAGCAAGAGATTTTCCAAATCTGGGCTGATCTAATGCTGCTTTCAAGTCATGATTGTGTAAGATGAAGAGCACACATGAACACATAGTTACCCAGATTTTCTTTGACCTCAGGATATTCTATCAAATGAAGAATCATGGCAGAAACAAATAGTTTTTTTAAAAGTGTTATAAATTGTAATGGTGGATGGGGACTATAATTAGTGTGTATTGTTTACTGATGTACAATTGGTGTAAAGATGATAGGAAATGGAAGGATGATAGGAAGTTTAAAGTCCATGTGAACTGGAAGTTGCTGCTGACTTTATTTCAGTGTAGTGACGTATTTCCATCTGAAACGGAATATTGAGGAGAGGGCGTGGTTTTATTTTTGCGCTCCTCCTCTCTATCTCTCACTCATAGCAAACAAATGGTTGGAGGGGTGTGTTTGAGGATATTCTACCCAAGCCGTCAAACTGACGTCATCAGAGAAGGAATGCCATTCCAGAGCGGAAGCAAATGTTCCGATTTTGATTAAAGATGACCAAAACAAACCATTTTTTAGCAGATTAACTTGCATGGATTAATTGTTCACATCAAGACTAGCAATGTGCTAGTAAAGTAAATAAAGTCCATTTTGATGTCATGCGGACTTTAAAACTACTCATTCAGCCACATTTGAGGCTTATTGTCATTCACTGTGGCTACTTGGAAATGGTAAAATACATAGACATGTACTAGGTGTTTAAAACACAACCTTTGCTCTTCAATTTGTTGTAAGAAGCTTTTGTTAAAAGTGACAAAGAGAAAATATCAACATTGTCATTATTACATATATCCAAAATCTCAAGTATAATGTTTGCGCTTTTTTTTTCTTTTTTTTTTTTTTCTAGCCATGACAGAATATACATTTATTAATAACAATTATTAAAATATGATTTTTAAAACCGAATTTTTAAAATTAAAAATCATTTTATTTATTTTTTATAAATTTCCAAATTATTTTCAAAAATATTTACATTTATTCCAGCAGTGTTGTCCTACTGTCTTTAAATTAAATAGTTATTTTCTTTAAAAGTAATGAAATTATATTTATTAAAATTAATTAATAAAATTAGTTTAAGTTTTTTTAAATTTTATTTTATTATTAATTAATAAATTATTAATTGCTGGTTCTTTTTTCTTTTAAATTCAAGTTTAAATACTTTTTTATTTATAATTTTTAAATAAATATTGTTAAATTTTGTGTTATTTTTTTTATCTTTAAATTAAATCGAGTAATAAATATCAGCTTTATTTTGGCAATTGGCCACCCTGTTCTCCAGGTTAACAGCATTGGACATTAAAAAAAACCTTATTGGTTAACCGCTAATCATGAATTTTCCACTCAAGCGTTTTTAGATGCAGACTTCTTTTTTTTTTTTGTGTTATAAATTGTAATGGTGGATGGGGACTATAATTAGTGTGTATTGTTTACTGATGTACAATTGGTGTAAAGATGATAGGAAATGGAAGGATGATAGGAAGTTTAAAGTCCATGTGAACTGGAAGTTGCTGCTGACTTTATTTCAGTGTAGTGACGTATTTCCATCTGAAACGGAATATTGAGGAGAGGGCGTGGTTTTATTTTTGCGCTCCTCCTCTCTATCTCTCACTCATAGCAAACAAATGGTTGGAGGGGTGTGTTTGAGGATATTCTACCCAAGCCGTCAAACTGACGTCATCAGAGAAGGAATGCCATTCCAGAGCGGAAGCAAATGTTCCGATTTTGATTAAAGATGACCAAAACAAACCATTTTTTAGCGGATTAACTTGCATGGATTAATTGTTCACATCAAGACTAGCAATGTGCTAGTAAAGTAAATAAAGTCCATTTTGATGTCATGCGGACTTTAAAACTACTCATTCAGCCACATTTGAGGCTTATTGTCATTCACTGTGGCTACTTGGAAATGGTAAAATACATAGACATGTACTAGGTGTTTAAAACACAACCTTTGCTCTTCAATTTGTTGTAAGAAGCTTTTGTTAAAAGTGACAAAGAGAAAATATCAACATTGTCATTATTACATATATCCAAAATCTCAAGTATAATGTTTGCTCTTTTTTTTCTTTTCTAGCCATGACAGAATATACATTTATTAATAACAATTATTAAAATATGATTTTTAAAACCAAATTTTTAAAATTAAAAATCATTTTATTTATTTTTTATAAATTTCCAAATTATTTTCAAAAATATTTACATTTATTCCAGCAGTGTTGTCCTACTGTCTTTAAATTAAATAGTTATTTTCTTTAAAAGTAATGAAATTATATTTATTAAAATTAATTAATAAAATTAGTTTAAGTTTTTTTAAATTTTATTTTATTATTAATTAATAAATTATTAATTGCTGGTTCTTTTTTCTTTTAAATTCAAGTTTAAATACTTTTTTATTTATAATTTTTAAATAAATATTGTTAAATTTTGTGTTATTTTTTTTATCTTTAAATTAAATCGAGTAATAAATATCAGCTTTATTTTGGCAATTGGCCACCCTGTTCTCCAGGTTAACAGCATTGGACATTAAAAAAAACCTTATTGGTTAACCGCTAATCATGAATTTTCCACTCAAGCGTTTTTAGATGCAGACTTCTTTTTTTTTTTTTAGCTCAGCTCTGACCTCTGACTCTCTTCTTTCACCTGGTGGTCAGACAGGAGAACTGCGGACTAAGATGAGTCAGTCTCATGAGGACAGCCTGACCAGCGTGGCCTGGAACCCTGACGGCAAGCGCTTCGTTACAGGAGGACAGAGAGGGCAGTTTTACCAGTGTGTAAGTTCAGAATGAGAGTAAAGAGGTTTGATTGTCAGGATTTGCCAGGCTACCCTTTAGTAATGATTTGTTGGCTGTGATTGGGCAGGATCTTGACGGAAACCTGTTGGAGTCGTGGGAAGGCGTGCGTGTGCAGTGCCTCTGGTGTTTGGCCGACGGCCGGACTGTTCTCGCCTCTGATACGCACCAGAGGATCCGTGGATACAGTTTCGAGGACCTAACAGACAGAAACATGTAAGCAGCTGTTCGACTCGATCATCAGACGCGCCTGAGTTTTGAAAACTGTGTCTGACCTTTCGCTTCTCTCTGTTCATACTCTAGAGTTCAGGAGGATCATCCTATAATGTCTTTCACTGTTTCTAAGAATGGAAGATTAGCTTTGTTAAATGTAGCAACTCAGGTAAGCGTACGTGTCTCAAACATGTTACATTGTTATTTCAATATCCAAAATGTTCACTTTATTTTTTAATTAATGTTTTTAATAAATAGAGTTTTGTAAAATCATAATAATCAGAAACTTTTTATTTGGAATTTTTTCTGATTTATTTATTTTTTTTAATTCTTAAATTTTCAAATAAATTCACATTATTAGTTTTTTTTCAGTTATATTATCTTACATATTTGCTACCTTTCAATTAATTAATGTAATAAATTTTTTTATAATTGTTAGAAATTTATTGATAATTAAAATGATATTTAACATTTTTCAAATTCATTAATTTTCAATAATTATTGGGATTTTTGTGTTATTTTATTACAGCAGTATTCATTGAAATAGTGTAATTGTTTTATATAATTTAATAATTGTTAAATATTGCTAATTATTAAAATTGTATTTCAAATGTTTCAAATTAATTTTTTTAGTTATTTTTAAATGCTTTTTAATAATATTTTATTTGAATTGTGATTTTTTTTATATAGATACCCCGTATAATGTTTCTTGCAGCAGCCATACCAGCATTAGAATAAACCGTCTCTGACCGCACTACATTTCCACGACGATTTCATCCTGTGCGCTAGTTCAGTTATGTCCACTCGGTCACGTTCCCTGAGCTGTTTACACCAAATATCCGGCTTTTGAATCCCATTTTTGGAGAGAAATATTTGCTATGGACTGATATTAAATGTTTGAAAAGAAAATGTTTTGCCTGTTTTTATGGAAGTTTTTGTTACTTTCTTTGGTTTACAATATTTCATTTTTGCTTAGTTTTTTTGGTCGACTTTATTCTCTGTATCATTATATTAAACTATAACCAGATAAATTGTCTCCTCTTTTCTTTTTTTTTCTTTTTTAAAATCTTTTATTTAAGCATTATTAGCGTTCTTTCCATTAAAAACAATAGTTGCATTAACCATAGTTTTAATGACATCCACATATGCTTTCCGCAGTCATAAGATGGTGCTAAACCTTTGCCTCGCAGGTGGAAGTTCAATCAGAAATCCAAAGTATCCAGAAAAACACTTCTCTAAAGTTACATCACTTTATTATAGAGACCTTTTCATCCTCGCCAACTTGACAGCTCGTGGAAATCAACATTAAGCAATTATTTGAGAGCAATTCATGGATGATTTTCCAGTTATTC